CATTAACACTTTCCTACTCCAACAAAAAGCAAACTGAAGCGCCATGTTCAAGAAGTGCTAGAAAAACTTCAAATAACAAAATATTTGCTTCACATGCTACATCCGCACACTTCCGACACCGAAACACGGAAAGATTAAAAAAAAAAAAACGTTACCAAAAGACACGTTTGATTCTTCCAGAAGAAGTGCAGAAAGACACAGCCAACAAAACAACTGTTTGGACTTCGTCTGGAACTGGTTTCTTTCTCTGGTTTGCAAACTAAAACATGACTTTTCTAAACCTGACTTTTACACGCTTCGTTAGATTCTTTTGTATTTCGGGTACACTACGCACACCGAAACAGGGCTAGATTTCAGCAACATCCGTTAATGGGCGCCCACTTGACCAAACTGCATCATGAACATTTGAAAGTTCAATCAGGAAAGTAAGGTTGCCCCATACAACTCATTCCCTCATTCCCGACTGAGCCGCAGCAAGTAATGATTCCGAACCCTTTTCTGGGGTTCTGGGGTTGAAGGCACTAGGGCACCAGGGAGTCAGGATTCGAGTCTCAGAGCTTAGGGTTCGGGATTAGGGTTGAGAGTTTAGAGTTTACATAGGGTTTAGGGTTTAGGGTTTAGGGTTTAGAGTTTACATAGGGTTTAGGGTACTATCATCAACGATTCAGGCCTCCATGATGTATGCAGTTGTTTTCACATCGATGCAAAGACTAAGGAGTTAGCTGAAGTAGTAGAAATTGGAACAGCACCAGCATCGAAAGTACGCCGGAACAATAGCCAGTATAAAGCTCCCTTTGCTGCACATCCAAAACTTAGTCTGGGGTGGCGTTGTAAGACATCGGGGGTTTAGGGTCTAGGGTTTAGGGTTTAGGGTTTAGGGTCGGTCCACTGCTAGTTTCTCATGCAACAACGGTGCTGGTGACCCTCTGCCTATGCCACATCATGAACATCCTGAAGACCAACCAAAGATCCGAATATCCCCAAGCCCCGGTGTGGACACAGTTGGAAGGTCAAGCGCAACTGCAAATCCCAAAGGCACCTAAAACCCAGACTCTTGATCCTGACTCAGCCCCAAACTCTTAACCTCAAAGCGCTTTGAACTCGACCCTAAACCATAAACCGTAAGCCCCAGACCAAGACAAGAAGATCAAGCCGCACACCCCAACCCAAGACTACTCAGAAACCCCTACCCGAAGCCCGAACGCGAGCTTCCCCGGTTCACAGCAACAGAAGCCTTATAAACCCTGTAGAACAGTTCCTTCTGGCCGCTAACATAGGGGCCTCAATAATTAGAATGGGGTCCATTATACTACTATAATAATATGGAACCCCAGAATAGCGCAGGTAATTCTTAAGGCCCCTACATTATACGAACTTGTAGAGCCCCTATAAGCACCCTAAAAAACCTCAGGCACAAGCCGGTCTTTTACCACCACGCGCTGGGGCTGTCTGTCGCCAGGACCCGCGTGATGAACAGAGAGTAGGCAGGTGGCCAAAACCTTAGGAATTAGGATTTGGGGCCTCGGGTTTAGGGTTTAGGGTTTAGGGTTTAGAGTTCAGGGTTTAGGGTTTAGGGTTTAGGGTTTAGGGGTTCGGGGAGTTTCTTTCTTTTCTTGGTTCGTTGGCTTGCTGTGGCTCTGTCCTGGTTTGGTATGCTGTTTATTGCTTAGTTCAGCGTTTGGATGTAAGGTTGCACAATCTGGAGTCTACTCGACGGAATAGGCTCCGAATTCAACCATTCAAAGCCCCAAACCCCAGCTACAAGTAGCTTAGGGTTTAGGGTTTAGGGTTTAGGGTTTAGGGTTTAGGGTTTAGGGTTTAGGGTTTAGGGTTTAGGGTTTAGGGTTTAGGGTCTGGGTACATTGTGGTGAACTTACATAGGTAGCTCCTCCTTGAAGCTCTGCCCCATGCCGCCGCGCCACAGATACGAGTCGTGGTGAGCTGAGTCATCCTCATGACGCGTTCACTCTGAGGCTTTTGACAGTGGGGCCTTGGAGGGCTTGGGGTTTAGGGTTTAGGGTTTAGGGTTTAGGGTTTAGGGTTTAGGGTTTAGGGTTTAGGGTTTGGGGTTTGGGGTTTGGGGTTTGGGGTTTGGGGTACATTATAGTGACCGTATGTAGGTAGTTCGCTAAATTGGGGTCCCGTTTAAGGTCCCCAATACAGTACGGCACCCTTGTAAAAAGAGCCCTGAAAAGGACCCTAATTTCGAGAACTACCCATACAGGGACCACAGGGGGATAGGATTGCTAACTTTCAGGCTTGAGGGCACAGAACCCCAAGCCTTTGAGCTCTCTGTAGAGAAGAGCTGCAATGACTACGAAACAAAGTGGCAGGCTCGACAGAAAGAAACAGAAATGCACAGGGGCCAGGAACAAGAACAATACTAAGTAGCACAGGGGCCTTAATAAATTAGAATAGGGTTTTGGGGCACATTATACTATAACTTTAAAAAGGAGCCCCCAAAATAGTATAGTAGGTAACTAAACACCCCTTCTTCGGAGCTCCTGTATGACCTTGCACCCCAAGCTTCGGGTTTATGGCTTTGGGCTTCGGGTTTCGGGATTAGGGACGCGGCAAGGCGGAAAGGCAAGTCATCTCATTGGTTTAGGGTTTTAGGGTTTGGGGTTTAGGGTTTGGGGTTTAGGGTTTAGGGGGCATCTGCCCTCATAGCACAGCCGATGAGAATGCTGAGCTCCAAAATGAACTTATTGCACCTCGATCTAAACACCTAAACACTATAGATCTACCAAGTGGCCGGGAAGAGGTAGTTCTCCAGCACCTGCACGATCAGCGGCGTTCGAAAGAAGCAAAACAACAACACCGCCAAAAATAGGTTCACTCCTGATGAACATTCAGAGTTCAGCGCTCTTCAACTACCGGAAGCCCTACAGCTTTCAGATCTGAGCCAAACATTCTTGCTACAGTTTAGCCCCGGACCCAAAGCCAAACAATAGAAACACGAAACATACAGTACATTGCCACTGTGGTCCTCCCAGAGACTCCAATACCCCTTAATTAAGGAATATACCTTGAATTACAGTATAGGATCCCTAGTAAGCTTTGAGGTGCATTCCTTAAGTAAGGGGTATTGGAGTCTCTGGGAAATTATGCTGAAGCCTAGCCTAACCCTCGAATGTCAGACGCATCCCGAAGCGAACTTGGGGGAAGCTCCCTTTTAGGCATACATCCTCTCCTGGTACATTCGTCATTCCTGAAGCTGTCTAAATCTAGGACATTTTCAGGTGGGTAGTTACCGTTGTAGGAGCCTTATAGAAGGTCTATAATTATACCTTATGGAAGCCTTATAGAAGCCCTGTATACCCCCAGAAGCTGGACTCAACATCTTTTACGCATATGCGAAAGCCGTCCGTATGCGAGGTCTCTGGCATTTCCTCATTATGGGACCGCTGCGGCAAGCAGGATTGGCCCAACCCGAACCCCCTAAACTAACTTAAGCCCTAAACCCTAAACCCCTAAACCCCCTCCCCCCTAAACCCCCTAAACCCCCTAAACCCCCTAAACCCCCTCAGCCCCAACCGTAGACCCTCAACCCGAAGCCCTAAACCTAACAAAAACACGGCGTGCCGTCTCCCACTGGATCGCCACGTGGCCAGTCGACCACGGTTCCTGTCGCCAATGTGTTCAGGATTTTGGGGTCCGAGGTTTCGGGTTTAGGATTTCCAGAAAAGAATTCGGATTCAAGCGTTACTGCCTTTTTGGGTGAATGGCTTGGCTGGAGATCTGCACGTTCTAGGGATTCTAGGGACCTTCATCATTAGAATAAGTAGCTGGTAATTGGTCAGACCTCTACACTACGCTTCAAGCTTGGTGCATATGGGTAGTTCTCTAAATTAGGTCCCCAATATAGACGGCGCCCTTACTAAAAAAAGAAGGACCCTAAAAGGGGACCCTAATTTAGAGAACCACCGACCTTTACCTTGAGGTTTACATGGTTTCAGGCCGTGAGCTTTTACCCTAAACCCTAAACCCTAAACCGCTTTGGCAAGGTTCAGTAGCCCAAAGCGAGATCCCTGAGTTTCGGGTGATATGAAGGTCTTAATGCTTGGAAGAGGGTTCGGGGTACGTTCTTGTATAATGTAGGGGCCTTAATGATTAGAATAAGGTTTTGGGTGGTATTTTAGTATAACTATAATACGGAGCCCACCAACATGATATAGGTAATTATTTGGGCCCCTAGCTGCCTTCTATGACGTGTAAGGCACCAAAGGTTACCCCTCCGAGAGCCTTGAACCCTGAACTCGGAAACCCCAAAAAGCCTTTTGGGCTTCGAATGTGGAAGCCAGTGCCAACAAAGGCCCTGAAACCTGAACCAAGCCCTTCGCGTAATCACCCAAATAAAAACCCTACAGCACCCTTGTAAAACCAGAAAGACTGTCAAGCCCTCTACAACCCTACACAACAATATCGAACCCGACCGAACCCTACAATCGCCACCCAACACAAGGGTCCAAATAGCTGCTTCTAGTATACCCTGGTAGCCCTTACTACAATAATAACTTCTGTACACCCCCTAAATTCTTCAGGCCGCTAGCCCGTAACCCTGCACTCCGAACCCTACATCCTACACCCCGGCCCAAAGCCCCCAAACCCCCAAAACGCCCAAAGACCCTAAGGCCACTTCAAAGCCCGTGGCCTTCCGCGCCGAAGCCGTTGCAAAACCTTCGGGGCGTTTAGGTGCCCTTTTCGGGCGGGGGGTGTTTGGGGGTTTAAGGCTTAGGGCTTAGGGCTTAGGGTTGAGAGTTTAGGGTTTAGGGGTTTTTGGGTCATGGGCTTTGAAAGCTCTTGTCAAAGCACCAGGGTTCCGAGTGTTCAGGGCTTCGGGCTTTTGGGGCCGTCGGGTCAGAGGTTACTGCACGACATTGCAATTAGGGTTTAGGGTTTAGGGTTTAGGGTTTGCCCAGTTGCGGGGCTTGAAAGGTGTTGCGGCATGCTGAATCAGAATGGCTGCATTCGGATTCCATGAGGTCGTGAAAGACTTGAGTGACAGTCAATAAGGCAGTAAGGAAGGCACAGAAAACCGCGCTGCACAAGACTTACACGAATATACAGAGTACAAGGTCATCCAAACATGCTAAATCTCAAACCGACATCACAGAACTTAATATGAGGAGGGACATTAAGACTGCTGTCAGTGCATCGTCTGGACCCCGGGAGTCCAATGCCTTCGCCCCTGATTCCCTAGCCCGAACCAGACAAAACCCTAAACCCTAAACCCCTAAACCCTAAACCCCTATATGAACCCTAGTGCCCGAAACCTGCTTCTGACCCTAAACCCTTATAAGCCCTAAACCCCAAGCCCTAAACCATAAACCCTCTAATCCGAAACCCTGAACCATAAACCCCCTAACCCTAAACCCTAAACCCTAAACCCTAAACTCTAACCCTAAACCCTCAACTTCGCAGGGTGCAGTGAAGTGTAGCGGGCTTAGGATCGAAAACCCTACGGGTCGCGGCGTCAGGGTTTATGGTAGGTTCTTCCTGCCTTGTTTGGCAACCATGGCTGTTTCAACAATACTTT